TTACATAAATAAAATCTATAATAAATAACACTAACATACTTTTCACATATAAATAAACATTTTCATTTATTAATTCATTTATAAATCATGGTAAAAAAAATAAATATAAATCTGAAAGGGTACTTTACTCAAGATGGTATTAAAGTCGACACTTTTACAGTAGTTACCTCCCCTTATAAGGATGAACAACCCATGAATATCAGAACCTCTTTCCCTACCTAGCCATAGAGCATTAACTCCCAAGGCTGTCTTAACCAGTAATTGCACTCTTTGTCAAAAGTTGGACGAGAATTAATCTCACCTCCGGTTGGATATTTCAAATTATAATTCTGTAATCTTGATTTACTGGTGTGTAGACATTCTTAAATTCATCCAAATTGACAAATTATGCAATTAGCTGGTAAGGCACACTTGCATAAAATTTTTTCTTAAACAAAGATACCATCTGTAAAATAAATATCTGTAACAGGAGGTAGTTACTATGTCATTAATGAAATATAATATGTTTCTGTAAAATGTAATTACAATTTAGTACATGTATATAAATAAAAGAAAACATAGTCACAGTTAATATCCGATAACCCTTGTAATTAAGAAAGATAAAGAAGTGCCGAACATTGAAAATTCAGTAAAAGAATCAAAATAAATTTTATCATAATTATGTGCAATATAAAACAAGAGGGCAATGATAGCCCTAAAATGCTCTTCTGAGATACTAGAAAAAGGTAATGACTCTTGCAGAAGTAGGTAATTAGTTCATGTTGAGGAAGACCCTAGCATGCTTTTAGTAACTACTTTAGTGGTCAACTAGGTAATGCTACATAACAAAAATCTCAACTCAAGCAAAGAAGTTTCACATAAGATTTAGATGCTTAAATTCTCTATTTGTAAGTCATTAAATAAGTGACAGGATGTGGGGAATTTTGACCTCAGGGGGGCTAATATACACTTTGTATGGCATTATGCTACATACCAAATACCTTAGCTCTAAGCAAATCAGTTTAGATGTTGCCTCCAGTATAAGTTAAGTCTTTGTAAACTACCAAAGGGCAAAACCTAAGGGCAGAGAAGTACCCAAGGGTAGAGGCAAGTCTGACCCCAGGGGCATAATAAATAAATAACTTTTGTTGAGGACCACAAAAAGACGGTAAATATCTAAGCTCTGGGAAATGTGGTTTCTGAGGAGAAGGTATTTTAAACATTTCCTATTTAAAGACCATAAGTATTGCCAGTGGAAGAGTGGGGATCAAGCCATTGACCCCTGGATTACAAGTACAGATGTTACCACTGGACCATAGATCCATTCCTAGCCTTCTTGTGCATCAGACTGGGATCATTCATATATCATAAGTAGAGGGCCTTCTAAGGACCATTCCTGTGAAGTTTGGTCAAAATCTGTAAAAAGATTGAAGGAATTCTTGATTAAAACACATAACGGAATGATGGAGAACATGCAATCTCATTAACTCAACTCTGAAGACTTCTGGAGTAACACATTGTGTACATGTACATGTATAACTATCTATTCACAACTTCTACTAAAATTATACAAAATATATAATTACAACAGAACCATGGCTGAATTGTATTTAAATAAAATCAAACATGGATTATTATCACAGACATGTATCAAAATATAACTATATATCACAATTATCATTCAATAATAATTATACATTTATAACAAAATCAACTAGAATTAACAATTTGATAAAAAGCATACTGAATTTTTTTTTGCCCTATAAATCACACTGATTACCTGCGATTGCTAATAGCTTAAAAGTTTGCAAGTTCTTTAATATGTCACCAAGATTTGAAAACAAGAGGGCCATGATGGCCCTGAGGTCGCTCACCTGTATATAGCCCCCCCCCGGCCCAATTTTTACCCAAGGGCTTTTATTTGTTTATTTGAACAGACTTGGTAGACACCCATAAGAAGATGTTTCATGCAAAACATCTAAGTTCTAGCTCATTGGGTTTTTTAAAAGAAGATTTTTTAAGTTTTTACTATACACATATAGTTAAAAACAATGACACCCCTCGGGCAGGGCCAGTTTTGACCCCTGGGCTTTTATTTGAACAAACTTTGTAGATATTTACTTAAAGATGTTTCATGCTTAATATCTAAACTCTAACTATTTGGGTTTTTTCAAAGAAGATTTTTAAGTTTTTGCTATGTATATAAGGAAAATCAATGACCCCCGGGGCGGGGCCAGTTTTGACCCCAGGCCTTTTATTTGAACATACTTGGTAGACACCCATTAGAACATGTCTCATGCTAAATATCTTAGCTCTAGCTCTTTGGGTTCTTTAAAAGAAGATTTTATAAGTTTTTACTATATGCATATAAGGAAAATCAATGACCCCCTGGGGCGGGGCCAATTTGGACCCCAGGGCTTTTATTTGAACAAACTTGGTAGACATTCACTAGAAGATGTTTCATGCCAAATATCTAAGCTCTAGCTCTTACAGTTCTTTAAAAGAAGATTTTTTAAGTTTTTACTTTATGCATATAGGGAAAATCAATGACCCCCTGGGGCGGGGCCAATTTTGACCCCAGGGCTTTTATTTGAACAAACTTGGTAGACATTCACTAGAAGATGTTTCATGCCAAATATCTAAGCTCTAGCTCTTACAGTTCTTTAAAAGAAGATTTTTTAAGTGTTTACTATATGCATATAGGGAAAATCAATGACCCCCCGGGGCGGGGCCAATTTTGACCCCAGGGCTTTTATTTGAACAAACTTGGTAGACACTCACTAGAAGATGTTCCATGCCAAATATCTTAGCTCTAGCTCTTACAGTTCTTTAAAAGAAGATTTTTTAAGTTTTTACTATATGCATATAGGGAAAATCAATGACCCCACGGGGCGGGGCCAATTTTGACCCCAGGGCTTTTATTTGAACAAACTTGGTAGACACTCAGTAGAAGATGTTCCATGCCAAATATCTCAGCTATAGCTCTTACAGTTCTTTAAAAGAAGATTTTTTAAGTTTTTACTATATGCATATAGGGAAAATCAATGACCCCACGGGGCGGGGCCAATTTTGACCCCAGGGCTTTTATTTGAACAAACTTGGTAGACACTCACTAGAAGATGTTCCATGCCAAATATCTCAGCTATAGCTCTTACAGTTCTTTAAAAGAAGATTTTTTAAGTTTTTACTATATGCATATAGGGAAAATCAATGACCCCACGGGGCGGGGCCAATTTTGACCCCAGGGCTTTTATTTGAACAAACTTGGTAGACACTCAGTAGAAGATGTTTCATGCCAAATATCTAATCTCTAGCTCTTAGGGTTGTTTAAAAGAAGATATTTAAAGATTTTTCTTTCGGTTGCCATGGCAACCAGAGTTCTGCATGGAATTAAATTCTTTGAACAATTTTTAAAGGTGACCACCAAAGGAACATTCCTGTGAAGTTTGGATGAAATTGGCTCAGTGGTTTATGAGGAGATGTCATTTAAAGCAAAAGTTTACGGACGGACGACGGACGGACGGACGGACGGACGGACGAAAAGCGATCACAAAAGCTCACCCTGTCACTTTGTGACAGGTGAGCTAATAAGAAAAAATTCACAACAAAAATTCTATTAAAAGAATATGGGACAAAAGAAAACATTTTAAGTCCCAAGTAAAGCATCCTCTTTAAATAAAGAAGAGTTTCATAGTCTATGTAATATCTCTGACAATAGTGTAATATAATCAAATAATTTTAATTTACATAATGTATGTTTAAGAAATCTTTCTGGAATATTCTTTTCGATAGTTTACAGTTTTACATTTAAATATAATTATGAAAAATTTGACATTTGAAAAAAGTACTTAAAAATATATATTCCATGTATATAATTATACAAATTATTTTGATAAATAAAGTTGAAACTAATTTTTTTTTTAACTGTGTTTTAATTTGCACCAACTCTGTAAAGGTCAATTGGCCACTTTCCAGCTTTACAAGTGGATTAAGACCTAAATAGAGCCCCTCTGTGCATAATATTTCAGGCACAAACAGGAACCCGAGTAGAACCACACACATTCTGTAAGCTAGCTGAAAAACTTTTCTCACATGAAAAAATCCAAAATTCCTGGTGGGATTAGAACCCACAGTGGTGAGGGCCAAGTGATAAATATGAAGTCAATATCCTTAAAATCAATGTTTTCTTAATATATATAATTATAAATACAATGACTAGCAGTGTATTATTGCAATAATATTTTCAATTTCTACCATTTAAAATGGTTACTTATTTTACAAGAAAAAATTATCTGTCCATGAAATAAGTTATTTTTTCAGCATTTTCAAGCCTGCCTCGATGTCCCCCATTACACGGAGGACCAACTCTTCTTGAAACGGAAGTGCCGCACACTGTACTCCAACTGGTAATCCAGCCGAACCTACACTGTACTGTAAACAGATAAAACATTATATTGTATAATTATAACATATTTCTATATCTGATCTGATCTGTTATGGCTTACAAACTGGTTGTAGACAATTTTTTTAGTTCAGTAATTTTTTATTGCACCGGGCATGTGAACCAAATTTATAATTTCAATACAATTAGAAATTGACATTCAATGTCTTCTCACCCCCCCCCACACAATTCTTAGGGCTGAAATTGTACAGTCCATGCAAAAAGTATCCTTTTTTTCACGATTGTTTTATGAGAACTCACAATTGCCAAAATATAGTTATTAAATGACAAAATTATTGACACCTTAATACACGAGTAACTGGCAATAATTTTTACATTTCAAAGAGCTAGAGGTTCCAGAGACAAGTGATTTGAGTCCTGGCTCTGGCATGCTGATTTTTTCATGTGATTTTTCTGTGCTTAATTTCCCATTCATGACTTTCTTACTTTCGTTTATGTATAAATGGTCACATCATTTCTCTGCATTGCTGGTCCAGTATGCTAACCACTACACCATATATATGAGCCGTGTCACGACAAAACCAACATAATGGGTTTGCATCCAGCATGGATCCAGACCAGCCTGCGCATCCGCGCAGTCTGATCAGGATCCATGCTGTTCGCTATCAGTTTCTCTACTTGAAATAGAGTTGGTAAGCGAACAGCATGGATCCTGATCAGACTGCGCGGATGCGCAGGCTGGTCTGGATCCATGCTGGTCGCAAACGCACTATGTTGGTTTTGTCGTGACACGGCTTATGTGTACAGTGCATAAAAGTGATATAAAAGAAAAGGGTCAAAAGTTTAAACACCATTATCATAGGCACTTCCTCTGAAGAAACTATTGACTAATTTAAATGTAGAGTTTGGTGATTTTAAAATTCCAATATTCTTTTTTCAAGTAATTCATATTTTCGTAACTTATTAGATTCAACAAATGTTTATGAAGAATGAGAAAAAAATGATTAAATCAATCTGTTTTGTTTGGTTTTACAATGCACCAACAAAATCTAGGTCATATTGCGCCAGAACAGGAAAGATGATTTTGGCTAGCCTCAATTTTTAAAATTTTTTAAAACATCAGGGTCCAATATTTATTGACAGCCCAATATTTGTATTTTATTAAATGAAATATCCTTAAAAATTCAAATCAAATAGACAGTTTCAAATTAAAAGCAGGGCATATGATATTCATTGCACAAATTTTATAAATCACTCAATTACAGAGATAAAAATCAGGACCCTTGCTAACATTATCCAGGTAAAATACACTTAATCATTTGAATTTAAGCTATTGATATCAACAACCGGAAACCTTTTGTAAATGGTAGCCTACCCATAACATGTCAGTATCATTAAGTACAGAAAAATTTGGTAATGTTGCCATAGAGGGTTAATATCATAATAGTGCAATTTCCCATGATTACTTTTTATTCATCACCTTCATTATAATCATTATCATCATCATCATGGTCTTATCATCATCATCATCATCATCTCATCATCATCTCTTCATCATCATCATCCTTCTTATTCTTCTAATTTTCATTATTAACATTATCATCATCATTATAATCATCATCATCATCATCAACATCATCATTGAAGTCTTAAAAGTCTTCTCATCACCATTATTATCATCATCAGCAATTGAGCATCTGATATTATTATCATCATTCAAGATGATCAACATCACCATCAGCAATGTCTAAAGCCACAGAATTAAAATTGCAAACATATGAGAAAACATGTTTCCTTGAGGAAACCAATTAACATATTTGTAAAAGAGAAGTGGGGGAACAAATTCAAAAATAAGCATAAAACACTTTCAAGAAACATTACAACCTTTGCATAGAATAAATAACATGTTCATTACAGAACATACACAGAAAATATTTTCAACCTTTGCATTAAGAGCTTGTCGGAAAAATTTACAAAATTTTGTATAAAAACCTAGTTGAAATAATTTTTTATTATCACTGGTATGAACCATTTTACCTGCTATGTAACGTACATATAGCTTTTTATTACATGCTTTTCGGTGGTTAATAGAAATATATCAGTGAAATACCTGCGTGCACATTACTGGAAACCAACTTAATGACGTGACATCGTAAATGATGTCACATTCTATTTTTATTTGGCGCGCTTTTCATCTAGTATTAGGTTAAAACGTCTTTTTAAACGTTTCTTGCATATAATAAAAAGAAAATTTGTTTAGTTTAGTGTAAGATCCAAAATATATTTCACTTCGTGAACACCAAAAGTTTATATTTCACTTATGGCTGCGCCATTGTGAAATATACCTTTTGGGGCTCACATGGTGAAATATATTCCAATCTTACACTGAACTAAACAAATATCCTCTATCTAATCAGCTACATGGTTGCTGACAAATTCAATGACAATTTTAGGAAGTTATACATGCATAAAAAGCCCATCCCAAATTTTTACAAAAGATAAACAAGATAAAATTGTCCCTTATAAGTGACAATCACATTTTTTTTCAGCTGAAAGGATGAATAACTGTCATCATTGCTTAAACACACCTCTTTTTATCATTCAAGAGTCACTTCATTATAACGGGACAATAACAGGATATGCCTTGACAAACACATGCATATCAAATAACTCAACAATTCATTAAAGATTTTAATCTGTTCTGGTATGTTACCAGGGTATTTATCAATATTTGAAATTTTCAAATTTTACTTCCTTGTCTGGACTATTGAACAAAATTATGGTCATTTTCAAATGAATAAAACATTTTTTCAAACTAATATGAATTCATATGAGATATGAGTATAAAATTGTCAAACTTCGTCAAACAAGCTTATTTTATAGGATGTTTCTGCATGCTTTAATTTTTAATACATTTATTTTAAATCTAAATCTGTTGCTCACAAATTCATTTAGTACAGTCTCTTTGAGTCCCCTTGTGAGCCCCTGCTGCAGGGCAGAATGAAGCATAATGGGCAGGGAATGCTGAGAATTAACCTTCTGTCCTACCCTGCCCTGCCAGACTTTGTTGTTGTTGTTGTTTTTGGTGCCAAAATAGAAGGGGAAAATTACAGATTGAAAGTGTAAGGCATTAAGCAAGGTTTTTTATTAACCATCTGACTGCCTGCATGGTTTGATCTTTACCAGGGTTTTAAAAATCCAAAAACTCAAAGTCCTTGCTTTTTCCTTGAGTGCCAGCCCAGGCTTTTAATATTTTTTTTTGTATAAAAACACTAGCATAAAAACAGTAATACATAACCAAACAAAGCCCTCATTTCAAGTCCATTGACAATATTATCAACTGCTATGGCAAAATTTTCTGAATAGTTAAGAAAATTACCTTTAGATTCAATGTCAAAGGACCTTGGCCTGATACTTCAAATTATGATAAAATGAGATTTTTCCGTGTAAAGGTTAGTTAAGGACCACGGTCATACTTCAATATGATAAATCAGGTTTTTCCTAAAATGATCTGTCCAGGATTTAAACTCTTATTAATTATAGAATGAAGATTGTTTAATAATATAGTAACTTAAAGAGTTGTTAACAAGCAGACAGACTGAATAAAAACTATATTTCCACTAATCTACACTAATCTACAATTGCAAGGGTGTTGTCTCAGGCACGATTGAAATAAACTGTAGTGCTGGTGCATTATGTCTAGCGTGTTCATAATTGTAGTTTACAGAAAACACCCGTAAAAAAATTTAAACGCATAAATATCTGTATTTTGTTCATAAAAAGTACCTTGCATATCATATTACCATGGTAACACAGCAAAATGAGGACAACCTGTAAAGTTGTTATCAGATCAAATGTTCGGAGGTAATTTTTTACTTCAGTTGTGTAACGGTTGAATTGGCGGGAAGGTATCTATACACATGAGTTCTATTTTGTTAAATGACATGTGAAAAATCAGTTGAACTATTTGCAAAATATATAGAGAAATGAAGGATTTCTATTTATAGGAATTCTAACTAAAATTAATTTTGTTCATATCTGGATGGTTTACAAAACAGCATTTACTAAATGATATAAAGACTTAGATATAAATTGTAATTAAACTTAAAAGATGGATAAAAATAGTGATATAGTTAAAACTGGAACAGCTTTATGTGAAACGTGCCAACGAAGTGGACGGCAAAATCTTGCTGAAACGTTCTGCGTTCAGTGTCAGGAGTACATGTGCAGACAATGTTCCGATCATCACTTCCTGTTGCCCGTGACAAAGCAACACCGATTGATTCGGAACACGGAAATGCCATTACACAAAGTGAGCACATCCCTAGCAGAATTCTGTTCCGTGCATTCTGGTGAGATATGTCATTTTTATTGCAAGACGCACAACGCTTTAATTTGTTACATGTGTAATACAAGCATACATAAAGACTGTCGCAACAAACACCAGCTATCTGAATTGTCACATGACATAGTTATATCTGAGAAATTCCTGAAAACTAGAGCTGAGGTAAAAGAAATGCTACAGTTATTCAGCACACTTAAAACACAGCTTGTTAGCAGTTTACATGCCGCACGTGCTAAACATGACTACTCCGCTCAAGTACAGCAGACAACCAGTTTGGATAATAGCGAACAGATTCAAAACCTTATAAACACACATGAAGAGTATAGAAATAAAGAGGCAGACGAGATATGCCATCTCCTTTATCAATGCGACACAGAAATTCATAGGGCCGACACCCTCAATACCGATCTCGACACTTTACGGCGCACCCAGCAACATGTACAATTACATATTTCTCTTCAAAATGCCTTACAAGTACTTCCACATATGACGGCAATTTATAAAGAAATTGTTAGAAAAAACAAACAAAATACTCATGCAATACTAATCATTGAGGAACCAGTGCCAATACCAAAAGACAAATGGAGGGGTACTATTAAAGAAAAGTATCCTAGGCCGACAAATGAATTTGAGAGATATAAATTGTGGTTGAGCTTTTGTTGCTTATCATATCTTCCTATGTTATTTACGTTTAAGGTCATCATTACATTAATTTTGATCCTGTGTTGGTATATATTTAGAGAAACATAGCGACCCAACTTCTTTTTCAGCATGTGAAGATATCAATGTATGTGCTTTAATCCGAGTTTTACATAGTTAAAAGTTCTTAGCATGAAAAAAAAAAAATGTTTCATTAAAACATTATGTAACGTGTACCGAGCGGATGTACAACGAATATATAATAAATTTTTCTTTGGGCTACCTGCCGTTTGATTAGATACAAATGATTATGAAACTATCATATATCATAAAGAATCAGCTTGAATCATTATACTCCGAAATGCACTTTTAAATTCTAAATATGTCACAATACAGTAAATATGTTTACAATATAACACTATGAAATAATTCAAAAGCTATAGATATCACGCTGCAACCCGATAATTGCTTATAGTCCAGCAACTACCTCCCTATCTATGAAGCGAGGCTTCTATTTAGATAGAAAGATAAGCTGCTGGCAGGGATTACAACAAAGTTCCAACTATTTTATCTATACAAACTTATTTATTATTAGTATATCTCTGGATTTTTAATACCTATATGTTACCAATTCCCTGATAGCGAGGCTTTCAGAAAATATGGAAATCTATAAGTACCCAGAGTCAAATCAATTCATAAACTTTAATCTATCAACACTCTATCCATGAAGCTAGGCTTCAATTAGATTAACAAGGATATTTAGTTCTACCTATGAAGCTAGGCTTCACTTCGGTAGAGGAAATTATCCTCTATGTATGAAGCGAGGCTTCAGTTACATAGAATAACCTGGTCCCGGTGAATTCCTCTGCAGACTGATTAATTTTGCTCTAATCGCCTTATTTATACCTGATGAGATGATCGCTCAAGCATGACTTATTTTCATTGGCTGATCAAAGTAATCCTGATCACTGAGACGTTAATTTCATTATATGATATCAAACGTTCATTGAAAATACGTATACCAGACGTATATTGTAAAGTACCGTAAACTTAAATATATTGTCTCAATATAAACAATTAACATAATTGTAAAAGTAAACACTAAAATCATTTCAGCAAACGATAATCTTTATTCAAAACTAGCTAATTATAAAAAAATGCCAAAACGTTACAATTATACATTGAACAATATACTGAATAAAAACTGAAAGTCATAATAAAACTAGCAGAATTTTACATCATGTATCATGATTTGAGATTATTTTTAAGCTACAGAGAGAGAGAGAGAAAAAACTGGCATGCCTCAGTAGGAAAACAAAACACGGGTCTCTGGACTGCTTGTCCAGTATGCTAACCACTCCACCACAGCTGCTATTGCATTTTATTCGTGCTAGTTTTAAGTTATTTTTAGCTTGTACATTCTGATGTCATCACTTTTATTACCAGAGTGGCAAGTTATTTATAGCTACTTTTACAACTGACTGACTACATTTAAGTAATACATGTTTTCTTATTATAAATATTCTCATCGGTCTGGAACTGGATTCCAATTTAATGCAAGCAGCTCGATAACCACAAGACAAGTTGAGTAAATTGCAAGAACAACTTTCAGCAGTGGAAAAACGCCGCAAAGTTACCTTTAAAGAGTTACAATCACTCTTAGGGCTGTTAAATTTCTGCTGCCAAGTTGTTTCACCTGGTCATGCATTTTTACGCCGCCTCATTGATCTTACCAAAACGGTTTCAAAATCCCACCATAGGATCTTGTTGAATAGTGAAAGTCGCAAAGACCTACAGGCATGGTTATTATTTGTTAAACATTTTAATGGCAAAAATTTGCTTCTGCACAAACGTTGTATACAGCACACTCTTTCTTGGAGGTGCGACCCATGCTCATAAAATTTGGCCGATGGAAAGCCACAGCATACCTTAAATATATCCGTCCCTCGGCTCTTCCTATTTACACAAGTCATTAATTCTTATTAAAATTCCTTTTGTTCGCTTTTCACAATTTCATAGCCTGTCTAGTATAGACATATTTGGAAATTCCTCCATGTTTCATGATCTGTCCGTACAAGGCAGCAGATCAAATAAATTCATTGGGTATAACACGTCTTAGTCTCAGAAAAACTGAACGCCATTACAGTAATTTTATAACAACTGACAGTGTAAGGCTGCAGTTATAGTCTGAAGTTATAGTCTGAATTATTTTTCTGACGGTTCCAGGCCGCAGTTTGTTCATGTGTTGCTAATTGCAATCATAAAATTGTTGCTATTTCTTAATCTTGTCATAGTAAAGTATTTGACTTTATGCTTAATGCCTGATGGTATAAGGCCGCAGGTTATGCATTGTTGAGGTATAAAAATGTATTTTACCTGGCACATCAATTAGGATCTCAAATTGATATTTGTTTTAGATTATATGTACATATTGTAACACCATTGTTATTGCTATGCTTCTTATCGTCTACATATATATGATTTGATATGTTTTCCTAAGAATTTGCTATGGGCTATTGCAACATTTAATGATGATGGCAGTTTTTATACATCGTGTTTATATTGACTGTATCTCGTGATTTGATTATTTTAAGCCGCTGCTTCATAATACCCTTTAAATGCATATGTTGTATATTATCTGTGTTAGGATAAACTACTGACAGTATAAGGCTGCAGTTAGAACACATTGCCAGAAGGTGATAACATTTCATTGCTTTTTATAGCAACATTTTACCACATTTAATTGTTTATGCTATATATATGCTGTTGATTTTGCCACATATTTGTAAACTGCGATTTACATGACAGATTTTGCAATATTTCATATCATTTGGTGTATATATTATCATTTCAACATTATTTTGTTACTTTATAGAATCTTCTTACTTTAAGGTTGCTTGTGTTACTGTTATATACATACTGTTGATCTTACCACTTCTTTGTAAACTGACAGTACAAGGCTGCACTTTACGTGACAGATTTACAATTTTCATATAATTTGGTGTACATATTCTTATTTCAACATTATTTTGATAATTTTATAGGATCTTACAACATCAAAGTGGCTCTCTTACAGTCTAGTCTCTTTGGTAACCTCCCAGGTTTACCATTCAGAAATTTTTTATAACATGTTTTATATGTAATAGTTTTAATTAATGTCAGTTATGGCATTTTCAATACATGTCCTTTTTCATTCAACACATGTGTTTGTTTATATTTTCCTCATGCCAAAATTCGATCTAGGCTGCTCTTTCCCTGATCTGGACAATACATAAATATTCTTATGGCAAACACCTTTATTATTTTATATGGCCACTACTGTCTATAACTAGAACTATCACTAAATGTGATTAATACCCCCACAAGTCTGCTTGGGAAATGAGGATGTTACCAGTAACAGAATACCTTGTAAAAGAATTGAAACATAGAGTTATGGTTGTGGGCAATTAAAGATAATTGTGGTTCATGTATGTTGCGTTTCCTTTCAATGTGGTTGGCCATTGATGAAGTTTAATTGAATTACTCTGTAATAAGTCCAGAAAGACAAAGAAAAAGAACAAAGGGCAATAACTCTATAAATACTGAAGATAGAGTTATAGTTCTTGTGCACTGCACTTCCTCTTATTGTGCTTGACCATTGTATGAAGTTGTTTTGAATTCCAACCAGTACGTTTTAAGTTATGCTCCGGACAAGGAAAAGTATCAAAGGGCAGTAACTCTGTATTTTGTCAAAATGGAGTTATGGCTCTTGTGCACTGCACTTCCTTTGAATGTCCTTGACAACTGTATGAAGTTGTACTGAATTCCAAACAGTAGTTTTCAAGTTATGCTCTGGACAAGGAAAAGTAACAAAGGGCAATAACTCTGTAATTAGTCAAGATGGAGTTATGGTTCTTGTGCACTGCACTTCCCCTTATTGTGCTTGACAATTGTATGAAGTTGTTTTGAATTCCAACCAGTAGTTTTCAAGTTATGCTCCGGACAAGGAAAAGTAACAAAGGGCAATAACTCTGTAATTAGTCAAGATAGAGTTATGGTTCTTGTGCACTGCACTTCCTCTCAATGTGCTTGACCATTGTATGAAGTTATAATGAATTCCAACAATAAGTCTTCAAGTTATGGTCCGGACAAAAGAAAGCAATGGAAAAGTAACAAAGGGCAATAACTCTGTAATTAGTCAAGATGGAGTTATGGTTCTTGTGCACTGCACTTCCCCTTATTGTGCTTGACCATTGTATGAAGTTGTTTTGAATTCCAACCAGTAGTTTTAAAGTCATGCTCTGGACAAGGAAAAGAAACAAAGGGCAGTAACTCTGTAATAAGTCAAAATGGAGTTATGGTTCTTGTGCACTGCACTTCCTCTCAATGTGCTGGACCATTGTATGAAGTTATAATGAATTCCAACAATTAGTCTTCAAGTTATGGTCCGAACAAAAGAAAGCAATGGAAAAGTAATAAAGGGCAATAACTCTGTAATAACTTTAGATAGAGTTATGGTTCTTATGCACTGCACTTCCTCTCAATGTGCTTGACCATTGTATGTAGTTATATTGTTTTCCAACCATTAGTCTTCAAGTTATGCTCCAGACAAAAAAAAGAAGGCAATTGAAAAGCAACAAAGGGCAATAACTCTGTAATTACTTTAGATAGAGTTATGGTTCTTGTGCACTGCACTTCCCCTTATTGTGTTTGACAATTGTATGAAGTTGTTTTGAATTCCAACCAGTAGTTTTCAAGTTATGCCCCGGACAAGGAAAAGTAACAAAGGGCAATAACTC